AAATAGTGTGTGTTTGGCCGGTGCAGAGCAGGTCCTGGGCAAAGAGACAGTAAGTGACTTCAAGCTGCGGCTCTTCTAACTAAACACATATTTCCCCCCTGCCCTTGTGAAAAGGCATGTTCTCGTTTTCTGAGGGAGCGACAATCTTTGTGTGAAGAAGTGTCACCCATGCCGTACTCATCATCCACACCATCTCTTCAAGTGACAGTGGGAGTAAGAGTTCATCAGTTCAACGTGCCTTTCACATTTGGAGACTCCTGACTAACAACCTCTGGAATTTATCATCAGAACAGCCAGAGAGCTCAATTCTGGCACATGCTGCTCTCACGCATGGAGAAAAACTTGAAAAGACAGAAGATTTGCTCCAACTTTCTTTCTTCTATCCATTTAGAAGAAAAAGCATACCTTTTTTTAATTAAAAAGACTATGCTCGCACAGAAACATCTGGCCCGTATCACCACGGCAGCCTCCTGAAATGGCCTGCTTGTCTCCAGTGTGTCCTTTTAAAAACCAAGTCTGCATGCAGCAGACAGCAAACCCTTTAGCTCATAGATCTGCATCAGTCGCTCCCATCCCTGGCATATTCTTCACGGCTCTGCCCTGATTCTTGGGGTGAGGTCCTGTGTAGTCCCCATTGCTCTCTCCCCTGCCTGCAGCCTGCCCCAGCCACATGGAGCACTCAGGGCTCCTTGCTTCTGCTTCTCCGAAGGGCACATCCAGACCTGTGTGCAAGTCAGTTCATCCCTCATAAGCTGTCTGCAGGCCGTGCTGAGACTGGATCTAATGGGCTCCCACAGCCCCCATCCAATAGCACTGGCCTTGTGTAGTATGTTTTAATTCAAACAATCAAACTTGAATCTTATTGGACAAGGCTATTATTGCACAATTTGGCTTGAGGCAGATAGCTCCACCACTTTGTATCACACATCAAATCCCACTTACACATGTATTCTATGCTAGGTCATAGGACTACACTTGTATTTATCTCCATGACCAAGTGGGCCAGACTGTAAGCTGCCTGAAGACTGGCATTGTGCACTGGAAATTTTTATATATGTAAATCTGGTAGGAACTGCTCAATAAATATATCAATTCTATAAACTGATGCCTTAGGGAAAAAAAAGTAAAATTCACTCAAGAAAGAACATGTAGCTCTTTTGGTCACTTGTGATGCTTTATAAGCATCCCAAGACTCGTGGTGCTCAGTGGACCTGGCAGATACACACAGGACCTGCAGGGTGGCTGAGTGTCTGTTGTATGATGTTAGGAGGATGGAACTGCTTTGGACATTTAAGCCTTTGAATGCGGTCATTCCCACATCTCCAGTCCTAGGATATCCTGCAGAAGCGATCATTTCTATGTTCCACGGTGATTTCCTTTATTTAATCCCATATGCACATCTGCGTGGTCTGCTTTGTCAGATCTGATCATGACTCAGGTGTAGTCATGAGCGTAACTGAATTTCCAACACATTCAGATCTATACAAGCTGATCATACCAGATGTTGTAATAATGCCATTGCCCATTGATTAACTTAGGATAATTGTTTTGATAATCCGGTCATTGGATCTTCTTTTTAAAAGAATGTTTTGAAAACTGACATTTTATTTATTTATTTTGTGTCCATGTGTGTGGATGGGGGTGTGCATACCATTGTGGGGGTCAGAGGACATTTTTGTCCTGGGGGTTCTGTCCTTGTACTAGAGATCAAAGTCAGGTTATCGGGTTTGGTGGTAGGCACCTTAATGCTTGTTAATATTTTGCTTATCCTGACACTTTATTTATAATTAACAAATTAATTCCCTTTTGTGTGTATATGAGTGTGAGTGTGTAAGCCAGAGGAAAATTTGCAGGAGTCAGTTTTCTCCTACTGCGTGGGTCCTAGAACTGAAGGCATCAGGCTTGTGGGCAAGTGCCCTCACCCACAAAGCCATCTCAGCCCTTCACTGAGATTTTCCTTCATCCTGCTTGCTCTCTTCTTGACATTCAGTTACATGCTGCTTTAGGGACACCGAAAAAGAGTTGGTGTTCCCTTGGATCCAGGCCACGCGTGTCTGTGGCATTTCACATAACCAGTGACATAGGATCATGGAGCACGCCCATGCCAATGTTCTTGCCACCGATTCAGTCTCTCAGAGAACTCTTTGCACTGCCAAGGAGTGGTGCAGGTGTGGCAGAGGACTGAAGATACCGTAGGCATCCTGGGGAAAATATGCTAACAGTGTAAAGGATGGAGACGTGTCCAGCTATCAGGTTGAAGACAAGAACAGCCTCAGAAAAGAAACAAAACCCTTCTTGAGGGAGAAGTGGGGGCGGCCCAAGGATGGCTTACTGAAGAATCCTTTAACAGCCTGAAATCCTACTGACAATTTTGCTAATGTGCCTGCTGGGCTGCCGTCTCAGGGGCCTGTTGTGAATTCCGTGCCTGATATTATTAATGGTAAATGGGCGCACCTGAAATCAAGCAATAATGTACCATTTGGGTAATAGTTATATTAAATGGTTCTTCTAGACAACATTGAGCTTATCAGATTATCTCGCTCCTAATAACGAATACCTTATCTTTTCCGATTTCCTAATCAAATATTTCCACATCATCCCCAAGTGCAGCCAATTCCAGCTGCATCCACACTGCACTCTCAGCTTCAATGATGTCCAATTGCCAGCCTCCTCACGGGCCCCTCCGTTCTCTCTGGCTCTGAGGCACAGGCCGGTTGTGCCTCTTGGGAAGCTGGTCGTCATCAGCCATTTGATACAGGTGAAGAGTGAGTCCATGACAGCACCAGGCTGAAGTTAGAGTGATGCAGAATTTTTACAACAGGTTTCTCCCTGAAGTTTGGTGCTTCTGAAGTAACCACATAGCTTTGTCTTTTCCCTGCTCCCTTTTCTGAAACCCGTGTACTCTAGACTGAGTGGCATTGCTTCAGTGTGGAGGAGCCTCAAGGCAGGGACAAAAAACAAAGATGTTATGCCTCACCGTAAGGTATAAACATTTAGTAATACACAGGTCCTGCCTTAATTGGACTGATCAGAAGTATTAAGGAGACTGAAGCAGTGGCTCCACAGATAATAGATCTATTGCTTTTTCAGAAGACCCAGGTTCTGACTCACAACCATCTATAATTTCATTTCCAGGGGAACCAGTGCCCTCTTCTGGCCTCCATGGGCACTGCATGCACATGGTGCACATACATACACACAGGCCAAACATCCCTACACATCAAATAAATACATCTAAAAATATTCTTAAACAATTATCTTTAAGAGGACCATCAAGATTCCTGAACACTTCATATTTTATTTTATTCAGCTGCCTATCTGTAGCAGGAGGAACAAATGTAAGAAATGCCGAGCAGTGCATAGGAAGCCAGATAGGGTCACTTTCTAGAATGTTCAGCTGAAATGTTACTATATCTTATGAGAGAGGTTGGCTGACATAATTCATCATCTTGAATTGCTTTGGTTTGAATCCTTTTCTCTATGCTGCATCTCGAATTTCTCTCATTTTCAGGTTTTCTTTTCATTCTGACTATATCTGTGGTACTTTAAAAAGATACCTTTCTCCAGGAAGAGAAGAAGAGCTCACACTCTCCACTGAGCATCCATGACAACACACCCTGTACCCCGCCCCAAGTTCAGGTGCCCATTAAGGACAGAATCCATGGTTTTTGGTCTCCAAGTCTCCATTGACATTATGGACTGCACACAGTGTGTGAATTACTGAATGAAGACCCGCTCTCATAATTTATGATTATCTAACTTCAATTTAAATTAAATCTAGCATGGAGTTATCGTAACCTGTGTCATGTTGCTTAATATCAAGCATAGTACAGTATATTCATGTATTGTCCCAAGATGTTTAATGAAAGAAAACACCTTGTCTATTTTGGAACCTTACCATGAAAAGGCAAAATTTAGTGTACTGTGTTTCCAATTGGCCAAGTTGAGGAATGGGTGCTTGCCCAAAAGACTAATGATTAATTCTGCTGCTGATGGGTACCATAATTTCCCTCCAATGGACTCCTGTGGTTGGAATCTCTTATAACATTTCAGAGCTGAAAGGTTTTTTTGAAACCATCAAAAACCCAAATATTTGAATTTCTCATTTAAACAGAAGCCCTCCTTCCCCCCAGCTAGAGAGCATTACTGATCACACCCAGCAAACGTTGACTATGCCCACAAACTTGTGAATCACTTGTGTGTAACGTGCGTACTCGCAATTCTTTAAATTGTGTACAATTTGGTAACTAAAGATGGAAACAGAGCAGCACATCTGTGATAAATTCTACAGTAGAGTCGCATAAGGAGCAGAAAGATAGGAGAGAGAACCATTTCAGAGAGTGTCAGAGGAGGTGTCCCGGAAGCAGTGACTGAGTTCGTTATGAACCGTGAGGGAAGTCGATGACTGTCATGAGGGGAAATGCTCATGGTGTACTTGGTGTGTTTATTAATAAGACAACATCACATCTTAAAAAACAAGCTTTTAAAGACAAAACCCCAGAAAGCATTAAACTCCCCCGTATAGCCCCTAACTGCACCTCTCCCTTCTGTGGTTCATGAAGAGTCGAGGCACAGGGGTGACTCAAAGCATACTGTATTAGTGGATGCATATATGTGCACGTAAGGCTACTGTGTTTTTCTGCTGACCACTTCTATGGTTTCATAACTAAAGAAAACTCACATGTGCAGGTGGGAATTCATTGCATTGTATTAAACACTGCTACTCTCGATATAACCTATGGGGTGTGACTTTTCATAAAAAACCTAATGAATTTCTAGGTTTGGTGAGCTTCTTCCAAACAGATGCACTATGCTAATCTAACGGACACATTTAGAGCCTGGACCCCAAATATCAATAGCTTTTAGTATTGCAAATTAGTCTGTCTGTTGGGTAAATTGGGCTGTGTGGTTCTTGATAAAAAAAGTAGCAAGTGATTCTGCACCCATGTGTCATGTGTAAACACCTCGCTGGAGCCTGATGACTGTGTGCTTCTTTGCAGAGTTTTAAGTTGAACGTGGACAGTCACTGTGCTCTCAAGGAAGCTGTGGAGGAAGAAGGACATCAACTCCTGGAGCTCATTGTGTCTCACAAAGCAGGTAAATCCTCCTGAAATATTGCAGGTCTTTATGTCTCCAGACTATTAAGAATGAAGAAGCATTGCTGTAAATTACTGCATATATTCACTTCCTTATGTATTATTAATATTTACATTATCAGATTGACCTTCAGGATTTATAAATGTTTCATATACTGCATACAATGCTGTGATACTTATAAGATGAAATACTGCCTCCAATGGTCTGTTCATTTTATTTGGGGCTTGCCATTCGCCTGAGTTCCAATTGAAATCACATTCCTGAAAACTTCACATTGACATGCTTTTTGATGTAGGAGCTCTGGAAATAACATTAAGATAATGAATGAGAGCCGTTCTTATAGACACAAGGCATATGCACTAGGCTGTACATAGATATCATTATGGATATAAGGCAGGCTGTCCATAGACATCTGATTATTTCTGTGCCAGTTCACACACGTGGATGTTTGGCATATTCTCTGTAGGTCTTTGCATTAGCAGAGGTTTAGGCCTTCAACCAGTTCTTAGACCAACATTGATGCATTTATGAAGAATGTATTATAAATAAAAAACAGTTTTATTGTATGGTCCCACTTATCTGGATAGTTGAAGACCATAAGACAGGGTGGGTTAAAGCTTGTTTGTGTTTTTTGTTTGTTTTTTGCTTACTATGTAAACAGGAAAAGAACAGCATTAAGCAGAGGTGTTAATGTCAAAGACTGCTGTCTTGATTCTGGCCCATTTACTGTATTTCCCATTGAATTACCTGTATCTGTCTCCAGACATCTTTTTGATCATTATAAAATCTCCCCACAGATAAACACAGGGCCTTGTGCTGGAGGTGTGAAGCTGTAGTCGTCATGACATCTATACATCACAATCTGTACCCCCCACACTGTTCTCACCAAACCAGAGTCGGCCTCAGTTTGTGCCTGGGCCTGTCCTCTTTTTGTGTAGCTAATATCTTAGAATTGCCAGTCTCAGTTCTGAGTGACAGATGGCAGGTAGTGGTGAGGTCATTGAAAAGCATGGATGTGGTTTGGGATAGCCACCCAGCTTTCTGGGTAGCAGACAGTGGCAGGTAAAGATGCAGCCGGGCCTACAGCTTGTGCTTTCCTTTGGGGAAGGACTGAAGGACATGCTGAAGATGATTGCCAGTCAATGGAAGGAGCTGCAGAGGCAAATCAAACGGCAACACAGCTGGATTCTCAGAGCTCTGGACACCATCAAAGCAGAGATACTGGCTACTGATGTGTCTGTGGAGGACGAGGAGGGGACGGGAAGCCCCAAGGTAAGTGGCTTGAAGTTTGCCTTAGTTCCTCTTATTCCTGTCTTCTTTTGAACTAGGCACCACTGAAGTTTTCTTTCCACCCCTAAGGCTCTTCGTTTCTAGTGAATAAACTTTGTAACTCCTTCCCCCTCTCTCTCCTTCCATATATATAGATATAGATATATATATAGCTTGGCTGAAAACAAAACAAAAGGCAAGAACTTTCAAGTTCTCTGGGAAGAGGTCTTTTTGTGCACAGCAGCAGAGCCGAAGGGGGCCAGGATTCTAGGGGTGGGAGGAAGGGGGGAGGCATAAAACATTTAGTAAACAAAACATAAAGCATCTTTAACATGAATAATCAGAATGGTTTTAAATTGTTTTGTTGCAACTATAAATCACTATAATCAGTGCAATCACTCAGCTCTGACATCCATTAGCCGCTTGGTTACAGCAAATTAACAAAGAAGAGAGAAAGTGATTCATTATCTCATTCCTGTTAATGACTATCAGATGCATTGCCTAATTAGGGGATGGTCATTGTAGTGCGAAGAAGGTCATATGCTTTGCTACAAATCTTTTTGCTCTGAGTGTAAGTTTTCCATAACGGTGCATGCGCCGAATACAGCAAGTATTTTAAAAACGGGTATTGGCATGTTTTGATTATCCATTTAGATTTATAAAATAGCCTGTGAGACATATGCCGCTGAACACCAAATGAAGTGCCTTTTAATACAGACTGCTACTGTTGTAAAGGTATCCTTTGGACCTAAAATGTGGAAAACAATTTTATTAATTCCACAGTTTGTTATAGTTTCTAATTTTGTGGCAGGAAGTCCAGAAATCCATTTCATAGTAGACTTAGGATCCGAGCATACTGTAGCATGGAGGGGAACAGATGGAAACGTTCATAGATTCTATTCCTGGCATGAACACAGACAGAGTAACATCATCAAATCACATTTCTCCATGGGCATTGTGCTCAGAGCAAGCACACTTTGCCCTCTGAGACTCAGATTCCTCAATAAGGCGGAGTTGGGACCCAGACCAGCCCTACAACAGGGAGACCACGCAGCTAGCTCAAAGCTCAGAGGGCACCCTTTATCTGTTGGAAACAGAAGTGAGTGGCAAGATCAGTCCCACCGGAAGGTCACATTTCCGGGAAGGAAGTGGCTTGGCACAGGAGTACATATTTTAGGAAGTGATGTATTCAGAGGTTCAAAGCTGCGGCTAACACCAAGGACTGGAGTGTAGTCAGCAGACATCTCCAGACAGAGAAAGCAGACCCCAGGGGGAAGTTGACTGGCCAAGGCTTTCACTGTGGAAGCAGGGCACGAAGGATGAGAAAGGGCACGAGTAAAATCTGGGTTGTGTTTTATCTATTTAACAAAGAGAGGGGTTGAGGTGTAGCCTAGAGGTGGAGGACTTGCCAAGGATGCATGAGGACCTACATTACATTGCCAACACCACAGAACAAGAAGGAATGCCCTCTACCTCCTCCAGTCTCCACGCACAGGCTGTCCTGCATTTGTGCTGTAGTCCTCATTTAACATCACAACAAACACGAAGGAGTTCTACCTGAACTCCTTTGCGCAGAAAAAGAGGCCCCTGAGAGGTTAACCAGTTTTCCTTAAGGGCACGCAGCTACTAAGTCTCGGGGCTGGGGTTTGAATCTGCACTTTGAGCTTAGGTGCAGGTTCCCTCACCGTCTACCCTCTGCTCCCTGCTGGCGGGGCTTGGGCCGCCCATGTGGGCTGAGCTTTAGAGATGCAAGCTTTTGGGGTGCTTTTTGAGACACTGGCACAAAACAACAAGGGCGACAGCAGAGGTTGGGGAGAGGAAGGGACACAGGGAAGGAGAGGCAGGGCTGCTCTGAGGGAGTGAGGGTCCATAGACCGGGTGGCGGGGTTGGAGGCGGGCTGGGGAGGAAGCTGCTGGCCTGTTGTAGGTAAGGGGAGGGTTCTGAATAAGTGGGAAAATGACCCCGAGTTTCCCTGTAAAGATGCATTCTCAGCTGGCTATCAGGCACGGGGCAAGGGTGGGCGGCTGGAGTGAGTGAGAGTGACCAAGGGACCTCCAGAGACTGCGCCGTCACCCAGACTGAGAGGAGTTCTGCCCTGGGGTTATGGTAAAGCTGTTCCACAGGACAGTTCAGTCAGCTCGTTTTTGTGAGGTGCAGAGAAGCTGCTTACTCAAGCCCGAGGAGGACAAACACATCAGCATTTTTAGAAAGCCTCCGCAGACCACAGGGGGGATGGCCCCATCCCAGAATCCCACATTCTAGCAGGAACCTCTGTAATAGGCTCAAAATCGCCCCCACCCCACACACGTACATGACCGACATGACTGAGAGGGTCGTAGTAAGTAAAGTGTTTAAACTGTATAAATCAACTGGGCTACATCTTATTCTAATGAAATGTTACATGGCCATTAAAAAACCGTGTTTTAGAAGACTTTGTAAATAGTAGATGATATCTATATGTAGCTATAGATTTTTAAATAACTTTGAATTTTCCAAATCTCTACCCTGAGCAAAAACTATTATAAAGAGAGGGGAAAAAAAAGGGTAAATACAAAGTTTAAGAGTTATTTACAAGGCAAAATAAGTGACATTGTGCTGTGGGGATGTGGGACCTGAATTTATCTATGAAAAGGGAGAATAAATAAATCTGATCCTTAAAGATCTGATTTCTAGAAAAACAGCAAAATTTGCTTTTGAATCATTCCAGAAGGGACAACATCTTGAGTTTCATCAGTTTACAGAGAATAAAAGAGAATAATTTTCCATGTTAATGCATTTCCTTCCCGTAGTACTTCCATGTCCTCACACAAGCAAACATTACCTCTGAAAACAATGACAAGACGAGATTGTGTGTGTGTGGTATCGACACACAGGGGACCTGGGAGCTGCAGAGCCAGGCGAAACCCCAGTCCTTCTGCTGGCTTCCCCAGTTTGGGCTGGGATTTCCTGGACAAATAAACACACCCATACTCAAGGATGAATGCAAAATAAATTTAAGGTTAAGGATATTATAGGGAAAAATCAGATGGTTATTTTTCCTATTTGTTTAATGTTTATGAACTGTTTTTCTTAAACCTGGGGCAAACTGAATACCAGGGAGGCTGAGACTCCAAGTTAGACTGTCTGAATTAAATGACTGAAGTTTACTGCTAGGAGTCCTTGAGACAACTACCTAGCTTCTCTGTGGTTCATATTTCTCATTTGTAAAATAGAGATAATGGGGCCAACAAGACGCTCAAAGGACAGAGGCATTCACCGTTTAACCTCTTGCCTGGGTTCAATCCCTGGAAGGAAAAAGCTGACAAATGGTTCTCTGCCCTCCACGTATGTACTGTGACATGCATAAACCAACCCCGCCTACCCCCTCTCACATAACATAATGATTTTTTTTTAACTTTTAAAAGGGGTAATGATAATTCCCACTTCAAAAATCTGTGACGTGGATTGTTTTAAAGAGTGCTCAGAATGAGCGGGTGTTTTGCGGAACACCTGCAATCCTAGTACTCAAGAAGCAGGGGCATTAGGATCCCTGAAGATTGAGGCCAGCCTGTCCATTATGTGAGCTTCAAGCCAACAGATGACATAAAAACAGTGCATAGACCAGAGCTTTGCACAGAATAAATTCTAAATAAGGCAAAATGTAATGTAGAAGCCTTCACATTCTAATGGCACAATGGACACATAATTATAATGGATTTAATAAAAGTCCAGTAGAAACTGGTATACGATGCTATAAGTATATGGAGGGAGGCCTCAAGGAAAGATCTGGAAGGAGTTGATTCTTTAAAATAGGGGTAGAAGGGCATTTGGCAATGTGAAAATAACGGGCAGGGGGACTAGCATGTTTAAAGACTCAGTGTGAGAAGGTTGGTATGTCTGGAACCCAGGACCACTGCCATAGATGATTATACTTGCCTGTCATGGTCTGCACTGAAGCTCCCAGTATGACAAAAGTGATCTCTACCAATTAGTGATTTGAGCAATAATTGACAGGATCCAAGTCATAAGGCCACACATACATATTACCTAAGAGTTTTGTCATGTAGTGTCAAGTAGTGCAAGCTGAAGTAGGCTGCAATGGAGTTCCTCCAGCCTGAGAGCGAGCCTTTCTGCTCTCTGTCCTTCACAGGAGGCTTCTTCCTATGATGTGACCTTGCTCAGGTCACTCGCAAGTTGCACCACGAAATGCATCCCCAAGCGAGGCGGTTATGATCATCTGTTTCATCTTAAACCTAAAAGAGGATCTAAAATTAAAACATAATAAAAATAATTCCAGAACTTATCTTAGGCTCACTTCAGAAGCTACTGGGAGCCTGAGAAGCATAATAGAAAATCTAAGGAATATATCTAGGGGGTATTTTTCTTTTTTACCTTGTTTGAGAGGCTGCAGAAAAGGGCTTGGTCTTAGAAATCTTGTAAAGGAGGAGGATAGGAGGAAATTCAAAGACTCTGGGAAACGTCTCCCCCAGGACTCGGCAGCATACCTTATTTGTTGTATTTCATTTTTTAAAAAAGTGTTTTCCCAGGACTACAAGATCTTTTATACATGGAAATAGAGAGTGAAATCCATCAGTTATAGAAACACAGCTTTATCATGCACATCCAAGAATTTAAAATATGCTTGTAATTATGTATTTTAAGAAATATTGATAAAAATGTTTCACCTTAAACTAGAAGTTTCACATTTTAACTATTTCAGTGATGTGCAGTTAGGAGGATTTCAAAATATAGTGACTACCCAAGGTCTAATAAATGCTACCATTTCTTTTTTTGATCTTTCAAGGTAAAAGCAGAACATCCTTAAAAAAAAAATTAATTGACATTGTCTCCTTTAAAATGTTCTTTTCTGCCCCCCTTTCTCTTCTGAAGCTGGCATCCTTCAGGACTTAGAATCAGGGCCAAGGTCTCCCCAGGTGACTCACCCAACTTTGCATCACTGAAAGTATGCAGTAACAGCTTCTTCATTCTTTTCAAGGAAACAGAGGAGTCTCTAGAACACAGA